TAGAGCTGATAAGATTCCGGCGAACATGCTGAGCTCATATGTAGATGCCTGTGAACTAGAGAAGCATCGGAAGTTGGAAGGTGAGGCCCCCGGGGGTACTGCCAGGATGATGGTTAACCAGTCAGATTAGTTCAGTTGTTTAACCTGTTGCCCTCCAGAGGATTTCCCCCCCCCCCTCTCCAGAGGATGTTCCCCCCCCTTCCTTCCCCCCTCTCCAGAGGATTTCCCCCCCCCCCTCTCCAGAGGATTTCCCCCCCCCTCCCTCCCTCTCCAGAGGATTTCCCCCCCTCCCCCTCTCCAGAGGATTCCCCCCCCTCCCTCTCTCCTAGAGGATTCCCCCCCCTCCTCCCCTCTCCAGAGGATTCCCCCCCTCCCTCCATCTCCAGAGGATTCCCCCCCTCCCTCCATCTCCAGAGGATTCCCCCCCCCCCCCCCCTCCCTCTCCAGAGGATTTCCCCCCCAGGAAGGATTCCCCCCCTCCCTCTCCCCTCCAGAGGATTTCCCCCCCCCCCCCTCCTCCAGAGGATTTACCCCCCCTCCCTCCCTCTCCAGAGGATTTCCCCCCCCCCCTCCCCCCTCTCCAGAGGATTTCCCCCCCCCCCTCTCCCCTCCAGAGGATTTCCCCCCCCCTCTCCTCCTCTCTCCAGAGGATTCCCCCACCCCTCTCCAGAGGATTTCCCCCCCCTCTCCAGAGGATTCCCCCCCCCCTCCTCCCTCCCCTCCAGAGGATTTCCCCCCCCTCCCTTCCCTCTCCAGAGGATTTCCCCCCCCCCTCTCCAGAGGATTTCCCCCCCCCCTCTCCCTCTCCAGAAGATTTCCCCCCCCCTCTCTCCCTCTCCAGGATTTCCCCCCCCCCCCTCCCCTTCCCTCTCCAGAGGATTTCCCCCCCCCCCCCCTCCCCTCCCTCTCCAGAGGATTTCCCCCCCCCCTCCCTCCCTCTCCAGAGGATTCCCCCCCCCTCTCCAGAGGATTCCCCCCCCCCTCCCTCTCCAGAGGATTCCCCCCCCTCCTCTCCTCTCCAGAGGATTTCCCCCCCCTCCCTCTCCAGAGGATCCCCCCCCCTCCCTCCCTCTCCAGAGGATTCCCCCCCCTCCCCTCTCCAGAGGATCCCCCCCCTCCCTCCCTCTCCAGAGGATTTCTCCACGCCCCCCCCCTCCCTCCCTCTCCAGAGGATTCCCCCCCCCCCTCCCTCCCTCTCCAGAGGATTCCCCCCCCTCCCTCCCTCTCCAGAGGATTCCCCCCCCTCCCTCCCTCTCCAGAGGATTCCCCCCCCCCTCCCTTCCTCTCCAGAGGATTCCCCCTCCCCCCCCTCCCTCCCTCTCCAGAGGATTTCCCCCCCCCCCTCCCTCCCTCTCCAGAGGATTTCAAAAGTTCAAAACATTAACAATAACATATAAAGCCCTTTATAACTCCGCCCCAAATTACATCACCAATCTTGTCTTCAAATATCACCCAAACCGTACTCTCCGCTCCTCACAAGACCTCCTACTCTCTAGCTCCCTTGTCTCCTCCTCCCATGCTCGTCTCCAGAGCCTCCCCCATCCTCTGGAACTCTCTACCCCAATCTATCAGACTATCGCCTACTCTGCTCACTTTTAGGCGATCTCTGAAAACTGATCTCTTCAGGGAAACCTATCCTGCTCCCAGCTGATGATGGAATCTTCTATTCCTCCTACCAGTCCATCCCCCACAGTTACTACCTTTTGTACCACTAGCCCCTCCCTCTTAGATTGTAAGCTCCCAGGATCAGCCCCTCCCTCTTAGATTGTAAGCTCCCAGGATCAGCCCCTCCCCCTTAGATTATAAGCTCCCAGGATCAGGCCCTCCCTCTTAGATTGTAAGCTCCCAGGATCAGGGCCATCCCTCTTAGATTGTCAGCTCCCAGGATCAGGACCTCCCTCTTAGATTGTAAGCTCCCAGGATCAGCCCCCTCCCCCTTAGATTGTAAGCTCCCAGGATCAGGCCCTCCCTCTTAGATTGTCAGCTCCCAGGATCAGGACCCTCCCTCTTAGATTGTAAGCTCCCAGGATCAGGCCCTCCCTCTTAGATTGTAAGCTCCCAGGATCAGGCCCTCCCTCTTAGATTGTAAGCTCCCAGGATCAGGCCCTCCCTCTTAGATTGTTAGCTCCCAGGATCAGGACCCACCCTCTTAGATTGTCAGCTCCCAGGATCAGGCCCTCCTATCCCTCTTGTATTGATCTGTATTGTCTCCCCTTATATTGTACAGCGCTGAGCACACTGTTGATGCCATAAATCCTGTATAATAAATAATAATCTGGGGCGCTCAAAGGGTTAACTGTGTGCTGTTTTTACTATGTGGGCTGTGTGTGTGTTTTCACTGTAAGCACACTGATTTGTATGGCTCTGCTAATATATATATATATGTTTGGGGGTTCTAAGTAAATTTTCTATCACAAAATACAGATTTTTTAAATGTAAACAAAAAGTATCAGAAGAGGCCGGGTGTTCAGGTGGGCGTATTGTATGTTCTTGACCAGGTAGTACTGTGATGTCTCACATCTATGAAGAATGAGTACGATGATTGATACTTGAGGTTGTCTTCGGATCTCCCCCCCCACATGGATTCTTTATTTAAACTGATTTTATGATCCATTAGGCAATGAAAAGATGGATGTGTCCCTGAACGAGGAGCCCATGGCGAGGTTGCAGGCAGCACTTTGGGAGCTGAGACCGTATGTCATGGATGGCAGGCGATATGATGGTGGGTGATAAGCGGCCTACTTAGAGCACAACTATAGGCAAGATTCAAAAATTGGTGTGAAAAACTAGGACAACTGTAACAAAATGGCCGTGTCTGCTGATATTGCACCCCGGAGTCATTTATTTACTTACCCCCGGAGTCATTTACTTACCCCCAGAGTCATTTACTTACCCCCAGAGTCATTTACTTACCCCACAAGTGTCAGTGTTGGAGCTCACTGGGTGGATGACATCACCGGCCCCCATATGTTAGTGCCGGTGGCTGGTGATTGGCTGCTCAGCAGTATTACATGGGGGAGGTCACATGCTTTCCCATTATCATGAGCCCTTTACAGCTATAGAAAGATGGGACGGCGATGGGAAATCATGGATGGGGTGAATATGGCGCTCCATGTCTGTGAACAGCTGATGGCCTGGAGCGCCATATTGGGTCCCTTCTCCTGACGGTACACCAAAGTCCTCAGCGGCCAATGCGATGATGTCACAGGGGCCAGAAAAGATGCTTCCAGGAAAGGGTAAAAAAACAAAGCAAAAACGGGAGAGATGTGCAGATCAAAGAGTTTTGCATAGAGAGAGACTTTAAAATCAAATATTTTTGTTTGATGGTGTTTCACTTCCATTACTTTGATGTTCACCACTTAATGATCGCAACCTTTACAGAGTCCCTTGTACTGATCTCCCTGTGCCTCAAGTACTTAAGGTGTTACTAAAACCCCGACCCCGCATTCCCTATATCCGCCCCCCCCCCCGGATAACCCCGCACTCATTATATCCTCTCTCCCCGGACCCCGCACTATATCCGCTCTCACCCCGAACCCCGCATTCCCTGCTATCCGTTCTCCCCCGGACCCCGCATTCTCTATATCCGCTCTCCCCGGACCCCGCATTCCCTATATCCGCCCCCCCCCCCGGACCCCGCACTCATTATATCCTCTCTCCGTCGCCCTCACCCCGCTCCCGCACTATATCCGCTCTCCCCGAACCCCGCATTCCCTGTATCCGTTCTCCTCCCGGACCCCGCATTCTCTATATCCGCTCTCCCCGGACCCCGCATTCCCTATATCCGCTCTCCCCGGACCCCGCAATCCCTATATCCGCTCTCCCCGGCCCCCGCATTCCCTATATCCGCTCTTCCCAGACCCCGCATTCACTATATCCCGCTCTCCCCGGCCCCCGCATTCACTATATCCATCCCCGGACCCCGCATTCAGTATATCCGCTCTCCCCGGACCCGCATTCACTATATCCCCGCTCTCTCCCCGGACCCCGCATTCACTATATCCGCTCTCACCCCGGACCCCGCATTCACTATATCCGCTCTCCCCGGACCCCGCATTCACTATATCCGCTCTCCCGGACCCGCCATTCACTATATCCGCTCTCCCCCGAACCCCGCATTCCTGTATCCGCTCTCCCCGGACCCCGCATTCCGTATATATATCGCTCTCCCCGGACCCCGCATTCCCTATATCCGCTCTCCCCGGACCCCGCATTCACTATAATCCCTCTCTCCCCGGACCCCGCATTCACTATATCCTCTCCCCGGACCCCGCATTCACTATATCCGCTCTCCCCGGGACCCCGCATTCACTATATCCGCTCTCCCCGGACCCCGCATTCACTATATCCGCCCCCCCCCGGACCCCGCATTCACTATATCGCTCTCCCGGACCCGCTCACCCGGACCCCGCATTCACTGTATCCGCTCTCCCCGGACCCCGCATTCACTGTATCCGCTCTCCCCCGGCCCCCGCATTCACTATTCACCCGACCCCGCATTCACTATAATCCGCTCTCCCCGGACCCCGCATTCACTATATCCCTCTCCCCGGACCCCGCATTCACTATATCCCTCTCCGCTCTCCCCGGACCCCGCATTCACTATATCCGCTCTCCCCGGACCCCGCATTCACTATATCCGCTCTCCCCGGACCCCGCATTCACTATATCCGCTCTCCCCGGACCCCCGCATTCACTATATCCGCTCTCTCCCGGACCCCGCATTCACTATATATCCGCTCTCCCCGGACCCCGCATTCACTATATCCGCTCTCCCCGGACCCCGCATTCACTATATCCGCTCTCCCCGGACCCCGCATTCACTATATCCGCTCTCCCCCGGACCCCGCATTCACTATATCCGCTCTCCGGACCCCGCATTCACTATATCCGCTCTTCCCGGACCCCGCATTCGCTGTATCTAGTCTCCCACAGTACACACACAACATGGAAATGCTATTATTTTAGTAAATATAAACTGCTAAATACCTTTTCTCATCAGCAGTATATAGCCATCTTGTGACTTCTATCAGTGTCCAGCAAAGCAATGGTTAAAGCTTGTAGGAGGAGTTTTCATTTTTCTCTAGGAGGATGCAGGTCCCCTGACTGGACAGTGTTGATTGGCCCTGCACTGATCACGTGCACTCTCCCAAGTTTAAAAACAAAACCTCTTTAGCAATACACACCAAATTGAGCATGTGCAGAGTGACTGTAACAGCCAGGTGCCCACTTTGAAGATGCCTGGGAAAGAAGACAGCCAGTGAAACCAGCCATGGTGAGGACACCGCTGGACCAAGGGACAGGTAAGTGGCTGTATTGTAAAAGTCAGCAGCTACAGTTTTTATAGCTGCTGACTTTTATTAATGTATTTTTTTTCAACTGGAACTCCATTTTAAGATGTGTGCAAAGCCTGGACTTTGGATAGCGTAAGTGCTCAGTCCCCTGTCAGGTTTCCATGGCTGTCTATGTTCCTGCTGGAAAGATTCTCCCGCTCTATTTGCCCTTGGTGACAGTTGTCACTGGGAGAGGAAGTGATGGGAATTCCAGCATATCGGGGTTGTCACCAGAGCAGGAATTCGGTGTCACCAGAGCAGGAATTCGGTGTCACCAGAGCAGGAATTCGGTGTCACCAGAGCAGGAATTTGGTGTGAGGAATTATGATGCACTGACTTGTCCATTGAACTCTTTTACAGAGGTCTCGTCACAGGTGGCCGTGATTTCCGATAGGCTGACAGCAGCGATGGGATCTGGTAATCCATCCACCACTCCTGGGATCTCAGAGGAACTTTTTTCTCGTAATATTGAAGAACTGGAACCCCAGGAACTGACAGTGAGTTTTCTTTTTTAAAATTATTTTGTTATAGCGGAGTTCCACCCAAAAGGGATGAGGGTTGGAGGGGTTGATAAGGATACAGGGGGGAGGGAAAGAGAGGGGACAGGATGGGGGGGGGGGGGGGGGGTAGTAATGAGAGAACTAATTACAAGGTTGTTACAATACAAACAAATCACACTCCAACAGGTTCTCACTACAGAAAACCCATCAACAGAAATCTGGGTTTTTACCCGCTTCCGGTACGGCTGGACTTGGGTGAAGTCGGGTGACTTCCTGCAGCTAAGCTTCTGTACTCATGAAATGTCTCCAGGGCCTCCGATTGTCCCTGAATTGTTCTTCAGAACGATGGAGTGTAGCTGTCAATTCTTCTATATGATGAAAGTCGTTACTGACTGAGTTTAATGGGATTTGTTAATAGTCTAAGAAAAGGTGCAAATAATAAGCGCAAAGCGGTTCCGGGGATATGTAGATAACCAGAGTATGGGCAACTCCTGCAACTCATCCGACCAGCAATGAGACATGAGCACAAAAACAACAAATAAAGGAGCGTTCCCAACCCTGTGGAAGTCCATAGTCACAAGCCCAGGATCAGTTAAAACCGAAATTCACTTTAACCTCTTCCCCGCCCGGCCCATGTACATAAACGGCCGGATGGGAGCAGCAGTGCAGGAGCGGGTTGCTGTTCATAAATGTCGTCCTGCATTTACAGCCTGTGCGCGCTCCCGATCGCGGTACGGGACCTCTGTGTGAGGTCCCAATCATGTGATCACTGATTGATAAATGTATGGGGTGTACGGAGCGTATGGGGTGTACGGAGCGTATGGGGTGTACGGAGCGTATGGGGTGTACGGGGCGTATGGGGTGTACGGAGCGTATGGGGGTGTACGGGGCGTATGGGGTGTACGGGGCGTATGGGGTGTACGGAGCGTACGGGCGCGTATGGGGTGTACGGGGCGTATGGGGTGTACGGGGCGTATGGGGTGTACGGGGCGTATGGGGTGTACGGGGCGTATGGGGTGTACGGGGCGTATGGGGTGTACGGAGCGTATGGGGTGTACGGGATATACGGGGTGTACAATCAGATATTCTGACCGGAAGCTTCAATGAATCACCAGGGTGCTCCATAGCATTGTGGTAGTTCATTGACAACTACAAGCTCACAGTTGCTAAAGCTGTTGGGTTTTCCAGTTCCGTGAATGAATGACGTGGCTGTGTGGGCGGAGCCCCGCATGGCCACGCTGTTTATAAATCTGACAGATATTACGGAAGTCACGTGTCCAAGATCCGGTTTTTATGTCATACACCTGGTGTAGAGATCGCCTGAACAAGGGCTGGTGAGGACAATCTGGAAGCCTCGGGGAGCACCATAACCATGTCAAACCAAAGGGGAGAATCCGGTCATCATGATCACATGTTTCAGGGACTTGCCCCTTCCTCTTGGTTATGGTGCTCCCCTAGATTCCACTTTGTCCTCACCAGTCCTTGTTTCGGCAGTCTCTCTCCAGGTGTATGACATAACATCCAGATCTGGGACACGTGACTTCCGGCGGACGCGCCATCTTGGTGATCCCAGCGGCTGCCATCCACACACCCTTCCCACTGTCCTGAGGCTCCTGGGCTGGGCAACCTCCTGTTGGGTCCAGGATCATGTGTCCTCCTCCAGCTTCTGGGAATGTGTTTCTTCCTTCCACTGGCTTGGTGACGTATCATTCTGGCCACTCCTACATGTCAGGCTTTGTAACCCAACATTAAAGTGAATTTGGATGTTAATTGTTCCTGGGCTTGTGAGACTATGGACTTCCCGAGGGTTTGGAGCGCTCTTTTAGTTGTTTTTTTGTTAATAGTCTGCACACCGGAAAGGTTTCTTCACAGTAAGAGCTGAGAATGTGGAATAGACTCCCTCCAGAGTTGGTTGTGGCCAATCAGGGGATTGCTGTAGGAAAGTCCTGGATTCTTTCTTGGATACACAGAATATAACTGGATATAACATTTATAGGGAAAGGTGATCCCGGGAATATCTGATTATTGATCCAGGGAATATCTGATTATTGATCCAGGGAATATCTGATTATTGATCCAGGGAATATATGATTATTGATCCAGGGAATATCCGATTATTGATCCCGGGAATATCTGATTATTGATCCAGGGAATATCCGATTATTGATCCCGGGAATATCTGATTATTGATCCCGGGAATATCTGATTGCCTCTCGGGGGATCAGGAAGGAATGTTTCCCCTGCAGGAGCAGATTGGATCGTGCTTTGCTGGGTTTTTTTGCCTTCCTCTGGATCAACTGTGGCTGTAGGATTATAACTTTTTTTTTTTTTTTTTTAATGGTTGAACTGGATGGACTTTTGTCTTTTTTTCAGCCAGACTAACTATGTAACTACATAACACACGTGCCTTCCTAACGTATTTGTCTTTTGACAGGTATCTGACCTACTCCTCACATCCTTTTGTCAGTGTGTCATGGCGGCCTCCAGTACGAATCCACCTGACCGGTAACCCACGACTGTCTGTGTTACACTATGTGGCTGAAGGTTGTGGACACGTGATCATTACACATACATGACATTGTTGGGCATCCCATTCCAAATCCTTGGCTATTCTATGGAGTTGGCCTTATATTTACATGAATGAAAACAAAAGGGTGCGAAGGCCTCCGGCATTACCAAAACAAAGGACATTCAGTGAGTGTATCCTCACCAGAACCAAAGGTGAAAACCGTGATGAAAGCACAAGGCATGCTGTGAAGCAGGGGGGGCTATTCCCTTGAAACGCGTCGGCTGGGGAGGCCAAGTAGTAAGAGTCGTGTCTTCTCCATCTCCTAAACAACTTCCCTGCTCCTGTGGTTGTGTTTTCAATGCTGTTTTTACATTTTCTTTTTGTGAATATCACTCGCTGAATTTCCTTTAATATATTTTATTTTGGTACTTTTGCACTCTTTGTTCATGTTTTGTATTTTATGGAATCTCTGGAGTCTGAAGAGGCAGCGTTGGTGTGAATATGGTCATTCCCTGCAGGCATTTGCAATTCTTGTGAATCCTCTAGCGCAGAGGTAGGCAACCTGCGGCTCTACAGCTGTTGCAGGACTACAAGTTCCATCATGGCTCTGCAAGTCATAGCTGTAACTGTCAGTTTTGTAATGTTGCAATGCCTCATGGGAAATGTAGTTCCACAACAGCTACAGAGCCGCAGGTTGCCCACCCCTGCTCTAGCGCTATGGTGGAATGAGCAAATGCTCCTTTGGCCGTATTATTAAAGCGGAGTTCCACTCACCTGAAAAAAAAAAATTTAAAGTCAGCAGCTACAAGAACTCTACAAAAACTGTATCTGCTGACTTTAAAAATGCAGCCACTTACCTGTCCCTCGGTCCAGCAGTGTCCTCACCATCAATCACTTACCTGTCCCGGAGTCCAGCGGTGTACTCACCACGGCTGGTTTCACCGGCCGTCTTCTCTCCCCGGCGCCGGCATCTTCAGTGTTGGCACCTGGATGTGACAGCTTGCGGCTTCACAGCCGGGTGCCCACTGCGCATGCGTGAGAAGCGCTGCACTTTGTGAATGGCTCCGTAGTCTTCTGGGACCTGTCATGTGTCACAGGAGACTACAGGGAGGGAGGGGGAGGACAACTTCCGCTTCTGATCACCTAGGCGATCGCACCAGAAGTGGGAGCGGGTACCTGTCAAATTCAGGTATCTGCTCCTCAAAGGTGCCAATCCTTAATGGGGAGCGGGGGACAAAGGCTTAAAGCGGAACTTCCCCTTTTGGGTGGAGCTCCGCTTTAAAGCAGAGCTCCACCCAAAAGGGGAAGTTCCGCTTTAAGCCTTTGTCCCCCGCTCCCCATTAAGGATTGGCACCTTGGGGGGGCGGGGGGGAGCGGGTACCTGAATTTGGCAGGTACCCGCTCCCACTTCCGCTCTGAGCACCTAGTTGATCAGAAGTGGAAGGTGTCCCCCCTCCCTCTCCATATTTTGTGGGACACATGACAGGTCCCAGAAGACTACAGGACCATTCAGGCAGTGCAGCGCTACTCGCGCATGCGCATTGGGTACCCGGCTGTGAAGCCGCAAGCTGTCACAGCCGGGTGCCCACATTAAAGATGCCGGAGAGAGAAGATGGCCAGTAAAACGGGCTGCGGGGGACACACCGCGGGACCAAGGGACAGGTAAGTGGCTGTTTTTTAAAAGTCAGCGGCTACAGTTTTTGTCCAGTTTTTGTAGCTGCTGACTTTTATTTTTTGACAGGTGAGTTGAACTCCACTTTAAGTGATATTAAATGCAAATTTTGTTTTTTTAATACCAAACACGTCATACTTACCTGCTCTGTAATGGTTTTGCACAGAGCAGCCCCGATCCTCCCCTTCTCGGGTCCCCTGCAGCTTGCTATAGCGGCACTCAAGCAGGCTCGCTCCTGAGTTGCTGCTCTGCGTGTCCATTCACATACAGAGCCACGACTCTGCCCTGTCCCCTCACTCTCCTCATTGGGCTCACTGGCTGTGATTGACATTAGCTGTCTCAGCCAATGAAGAGGGAGAGTCCCCAGAGAGCCGCGGCTCTCGCTGGATCGGGATGGGGCTCAGGTAAGTATTAGGGGGGCTGCTGCACACAGAAGGTTTTTTTTTCCTTCATGTATAGAATGTATGAAGGTAAAAATCTTGGGTCTTTACAACCACTTGAAAGGTTGGATGCACAAATGTCTGAAATGTCTTTGTATGTCGTAACTTTCCCAGTATCCTTCCCTGGGAACACCTGAACTCCATCATTTGAAGGGGTGTTCACAGACGTTTGACCATAAGGTAGAGGTATTGGTCAGGTGACCACAAACCTTTAGCTGACCTTTAGACCTTTGTTGTTTTTTGTATGTTTTTGTTTTGTTTTTGCAGAATTTAAATTTTCAGACCAAACTTTTTTTTTTGTTTGGATAACCCGGGGAAACATTGGATTCTATCAGTGCCTTGTTGGGACTTCCCAGAACATTAGACGTCAAATTCATATTGTTTGTTTATAGTGCTGAACTCGAAGGTCCATCAAGCTCCTACTTGTGTGATGGTCAGATGTCCACAAACCTCCGGCCGTGTAGCATACAAGTGAATTACATTCTTAGCTGGAATGGCATCTGCTTGAGGTAGAATAGAACAACATGGAATCCAGGCTGTATAAGTCATGCAAGTAAAGAAATCATATTTCCCTTGGCATCCGTTATCAGTTAACCACTTCAAGTCTGGACACTCCCCCCCCCCCCCCCCCCCCCCCCCCCGGCCAATTTTCAGCTTTCAGCGATATCACACTTTGACAATTGCGCGGTCATGCAACACTGTACCCATATGAATTTGTTAGCATTTTTTTTAAACAGATAAAACTTTATTTTGGGGGTATTTATTCACCGCTGGGATTTTTATTTTTTTGCTATATAAATGAAAAAGTCCAAACATTTTGAAAAAAAAAAAACAGTTTTTCTTGCAAATAATCTTTCTTCATAAATCTTGGCCAAAATGTATTCAGCTATCTTTTTAGTAAAAAAAAAAAAAAAAAAAACCCAAATTAGTTTATAACCAAAATTATAATTTTTCCCAAATTTTTTTTACATTTGTATTTTATTTTTTTATATTATTATTTGTTTTTGTTGTTTATTTTTTTAACATACTGTCACCCTAGCAGTGCAGTGTCACCATGGTGTACTACTTGTGGGGGGTGATGAAGATTTTATTGCTTTTACAGCCTTTATGGGTGTAAAAGCAATAATTTCTCCTTGTCTCTAGCTGCATTCTTGCGGCCACTGAGAAATACTGTGAGAGCTGTGATTGGTCACAGCTTGTCACATGGTACAAAGCTGTTGTGAAAAGCCTTGTACCATGTGACTTCCGTGATCATTCATAGATTTCACACGTAGTAAGCAATGATGTCAGAAGTGACATCTTGCTTACTACTATTCATGTGATCACTGATTGGTCAATCAGTGATCACATGATCGGGACCTCACACAGAGGTCCCGTACAATGATCGGTGTTTCTGCTGTGTCCTCCGGACACAGCGGGCACCGGATCGCGGTACTGCACGTTCCCAGGGAGTGCGCAGAGGCTGAAAATGCGGGCGCCATTTATGAACGGCAACCCACTCCTGCACTGCTCCTGTCCGGCCGTTTATATACATGGGCTGAGCGGGAAGTGGTTAAATAGTATTGTAAACTAAAGAGAATGCAGCACTAATGAAAGAAAATTAAAAAATTATAAAGTCCAAATTAAAATCTTGAAAAGTCCTCAAAACATTATAAAACAAATATGTAGGAGACTTGTCTTGACCATATACACCAACACCCAGAAAAGATGGCCCCTCACCGGACACTTTGACCATATACACCAACACCCAGAAAAGATGGCCCCTCACCGGACACTTTGACCGTATACACCAACACCCGGAAAAGATGGCCCCTCACCAGACACTTTGACCATATACACCAACACCCAGAAAAGATGGCCCCTCACCGGACACTTTGACCGTATACACCAACACCCAGAAAAGATGGCCCCTCACTGAACACTTTGACCATATACACCAACACCCGGAAAAGATGGCCCCTCACCGGACACTTTGACCGTATACACCAACACCCGGAAAAGATGGCCCCTCACCGGACACTTTGACCATATACACCAACACCCAGAAAAGATGGCCCCTCACCGAACACTTTGACCATATACACCAACACCCAGAAAAGATGGCCCCTCACCGGACACTTTGACCGTATACACCAACACCCAGAAAAGATGGCCCCTCACCGGACACTTTGACCGTATACACCAACACCTGGGAAAAGATGGCCCCTCACCGGACACTTTGACCGTATACACCAACACCCGAAAAGATGGCCCCTCACCGGACACTTTGACCGTATACACCAACACCCAGAAAAGATGGCCCCTCACCGGACACTTTGACCGTATACACCAACACCCGGAAAAGATGGCCCCTCACCGGACACTTTGACCGTATACACCAACACCCGGAAAAGATGGCCCCTCATCGGACACTTTGACCGTATACACCAACACCCGGAAAAGATGGCCCCTCACCGGACACTTTGACCGTATACACCAACACCCGGAAAAGATGGCCCCTCACCGGACACTTTGACCGTATACACCAACACCCGGAAAAGATGGCCCCTCACCGGACACTTTGACCGTATACACCAACACCCGGAAAAGATGGCCCCTCACCTGACACTTTGACCGTATACACCAACACCCGGGAAAGATGGCCCCTCACCGGACACTTTGACCGTATACACCAACACCTGGAAAAGATGGCCCCTCATCGGACACTTTGACCGTATACACCAACACCCGAAAAAGATGGCCCCTCACCGGACACTTTGACCGTATACACCAACACCCGGAAAAGATGGCCCCTCACCGGACACTTTGACCATATACACCAACACCCGGAAAAGATGGCCCCTCACCGGACACTTTGACCGTATACACCAACACCTGGGAAAGATGGCCCCTCACCGGACACTTTGACCGTATACACCAACACCCGGAAAAGATGGCCCCTCACCGGACACTTTGACCGTATACACCAACACCCGGAAAAGATGGCCCCTCACCGGACACTTTGACCGTATACACCAACACCCGGAAAAGATGCCCCTCACCGGACACTTTGACCGTATACACCAACACCCTGAAAAGATGGCCCCTCACCAGACACTTTGACCGTATACACCAACACCCTGAAAAGATGGCCCCTCACCGGACACTTTGACCGTATACACCAACACCCTGAAAAGATGGCCCCTCACCGGACACTTTGACCATATACACCAACACCCGGAAAAGATGGCCCCTCACCGGACACTTTGACCGTATACACCAACACCTGGAAAAGATGGCCCCTCACCGGACACTTTGACCGTATACACCAACACCCGGAAAAGATGGCCCCTCACCGGACACTTTGACCGTATACACCAACACCCGGGAAAGATGGCCCCTCACCAGACACTTTGACTGTATACACCAACACCCTGAAAAGATGGCCCCTCACCAGACACTTTGACCGTATACAGCGGTCAGTATGCGCAGTGTGATGAATATTTTCAATGGATATCGTCTCCCGGATGGAATAATGGCCCGTGTGATGGAGAATCTTCAGTAGTAGCGGTCAGTAAGCACCATATAATAGGGACTGAAAACAACGGGTGATCCACAAAGGAAATCCTCTCACACATAGAAAATGAGCTTTCCACTTTAAGATTTGTTAGACTTCCAAGAATCTCCCATCTTTTTGTTGCTTTTCTTAACAAAACATTTTCATCATCAGTTGAATAGGATTACGGCAGACACTCTATACTTTGTTGCAATCAATGATTTTCTCATTTATATAGCCAGGGACCGTGGCCAACCCTTTATGTGAAGATGCTGTTTGGGCATCGCAGGGCCCTTTTTGCGTTGCTGACCAGGATCTTGCAGCTCTTATGTCATCAGGTGAGTCTATATGGCTGTAGATACATCATTGGTCCTGTGCAGACAAGTCCTGAAAATGATGGAATGTTATGGAACACATATTTATGTACATCTGTATAGGGCTTCTGGCTGGTCCAGAACAGATCCTCAAACATTGTTTTCCCACATGCACATCCGCTGGTAATCTCTTGGGCTCCCCATTGGACAGTACTGACAGAATCGGTTTATCCTTTCTTAAAGTGGAGCTCCACCCAAAAGGGGAAGTTCCGCTTTAAGGCTTTGTTCCCCTCTCCGCGTAAAGGATTGGCACTTTTGGGGAGCGGGTACCTGAATTTGGCAAGTACGCTCTCCCACTTCCGGTGCAATCACCTAAGGCGATCAGAAGTGGAAGTTGTCCTCCCCCCTCCCTCCCTGTAGTCTTCTGGGACACGGGACTGGTTGCTGAAGACTACGGGGCCATTCACAAAACGCAGCGCTACTCAAGCATGCGCGATGGGCACCCGGCTGTGAACCCGCACTGAAGATGGCGTCAGGGAGAGAAGATGGCTGGTGAAACCAGCCTTGTTGAGGACACCACTAGTCACAGGTAAGTGTTTGTATGTTAAAAGTCGGCAGCGACCGTTTTTGTCGCTGCTGACTTTTTTTTTTTTTATTCAATCGGAACTCTGCTTTAACCCCTTGACGCCGACCATCCGCAAATATGTAGCCTCTCGGCAGCTGGGCCTTGACGCCGACCATACGCAAATATGCAGCCTCTCGGCAGCTGGGCCTTGACGCCGACCATACGCAGATATGTAGCCTCCCGGCAGCTGGGCCTTGACGCCGACCGTCTGCAAATATGTAACCTCTCGGCAGCTGGGCCTTGACGCCGACCATACGCAAATATGCAGCCTCTCGGCAGCTGGGCCTTGACGCCGACCATACGCAGATATGTAGCCTCCCGGCAGCTGGGGCCTTGACGCCGACCATACGCAAATATGTAGCCTCCCGGCAGCTGGGCCTTGACGCCGACCATCTGCAAATATGTAACCTCTCGGCAGCTGGGCCTTGACGCTGACCGTACGCAGATATGGGCACCCGGCTGTGAACCCGCACTGAAGATGGCGTCAGGGAGAGAAGATGGCTGGTGAAACCAGCCTTGTTGAGGACACCACTAGTCACAGGTAAGTGTTTGTATGTTAAAAGTCGGCAGCGACCGTTTTTGTCGCTGCTGACTTTTTTTTTTTATTCAATCGGAACTCTGCTTTAACCCCTTGACGCCGACCATCCGCAAATATGTAGCCTCTCGGCAGCTGGGCCTTGACACCGACCGTCCGCAAATATGCAGCCTCTCGGCAGCTGGGCCTTGACGCCGACCATCCGCAAAATATGCAGCCTCTCGGCAGCTGGGCCTTGACGCCGACTATACGCAAATATGCAGCCTCTCGGCAGCTGGGCCTTGACGCCGACGCCATCCGCAAATATGTAGCCTCTCGGCAGCTGGGCCTTGACGCCGACCGTCCGACGCTGACCATCCGCAAATATGTAGCCTCTCGGCAGCTGGGCCTTGACGCTGACCATCCGCAAATATGTAGCCTCTCGGCAGCTGGGCCTTGACGCCGACCATACGCAGATATGTAGCCTCCCGGCAGTTGGGCCTTGACACCGACCGTCCGCAAATATGTAACCTCTCGGCAGCTGGGCCTTGACGCCGACCGTCCGCAAATATGTAACCTCTCGGCAGCTGGGCCTTGACGCCGATCATCCGCAAATATGTAGCCTCTCGGCAGCTGGGCCTTGACGCCGACCATCCGCAAATATGTAGCCTCTCGGCAGCTGGGCCTTGACGCCGACCATCCGCAAATATGTAGCCTCTCGGCAGCTGGGCCTTGACGCCGACCATACGCAGATATGTAGCCTCTCGGCAGCTGGGCCTTGACGCCGACCATCCGCAAATATGTAGCCTCTCGGCAGCTGGGCCTTGACGCCGACCATACGCAGATATGTAGCCTCTCGGCAGCTGGGCCTTGACGCCGACCATCCGCAAATATTTAGCCTCTCGGCAGCTGGGCCTTGACGCCGACCATACGCAGATATGTAGCCTCTCGGCAGCTGGGCCTTGACGCCGACCATACGCAGATATGTAGCCTCTCGGCAGCTGGGCCTTGACGCTGACCATCCGCAAATATGTAGCCTCTCGGCAGCTGGGCCTTGACGCCGACCATACGCAGATATGTAGCCTCTCGGCAGCTGGGCCTTGACGCCGACCATACGCAAATATGTAGCTTTTCAGTGGCTGGGCCTTGACACCGAGCGGCCGCATATTTGCATATCATTTGAAAACACGTATGTGCTGAGAGTGTGCGCCCCGCGCACTCCCAGCACACGTGTCGGTGTCTCACGTAAAGGGCCTGATCTCCCCTTGTGATCGGGACCTTTTCCGAACATGACGGCGAATCACGGCGGTCACATGACCCTAAAACCCTGCCCCGCCTCCCGGTGTCTGAAACCAATTAAAGGGCCGGGAGGCTCTGGTGTGAAGAGGTTAATCAGCAAACATTGGAATAAGACATTTTTTCTTCTTGGCCCTCACTTTATCAGTGAAGCTGGCGACCAATGACGATGGAGTAGTAGCAGGCGCACATGTGCACTACGGCAGAGTCTGATTGGCCACTAGTACTGGCTCCCTCTTTTCTAGTTTGTTTGCCGGTGTGCAGATATTAAGAAGATATTAAGAAGCCGATTTCAAGAAAAGATTCAGGAACTTACACTCTGCGATCCATAACATGTTTATACTGGTTCTAAAGGCAGAAGGTTTTTTACCTTCGTACATCCTATGCATTAAAGGATAAGTTCACCTTTTGGTAAAAAAATATTAAATGCAAATTTTTTTTGCAAGTAAAAAAATGTGCATTTATTATTTTTTGCTGCAGGACCCTGTAAAGCATTGCATCAGTGGTCAGCAGATTGCCGGTGCCATGCAGGTCTCCTGCAGACCTGTCAGTATATTCGCTTGTCCTTACAGGATGTACAGGCGAGCAGATATAGTGAGAGGAAGATTCAATGAACTACCACAGCACTCCGCAGCTCCGAGGTAGTTCATTGAGGACTACAAACCGACAGCCGCTAAGGTTTGTAGTCACTCATTCAGAGTAGTGACGTGGCTGGGTGGGCGGAGCCCTGCTCGGCCTTGTTTTTTTTTTTAAAATTGGGAGTGAGAATATCCCCCACTAACTGTCAAAGTGGGGGGCCGGTGCTATCATAGCATGTTACATGTTACACCCTGAATATGGGTGTAACATGCTATGATAGGTGAACTAATCCTTTAAGTTAAAAAACCTTTTGGGTGCAGCTTCCCCCTCAGCCCCTTCTTACACTTACCTGAGCCTGGTGTACATAAGAGCCACAGCTCTCCAGGTCTCTCTCTCTTCTCATTGGCTCACACAGCAGTGGGAGCCGTTAGCCAGTTAAAGCCAGTGAGCCAATGGAGACAATGTTCCTTCACAGGAGCGTGGCTTGGGAGCAAGCCTACTCAAGTGCCCCCATAGCAAGAGGCTTTTTGTTGGGGGCACTCGGCAGGGGGGAGGAGCCAGGACTGCCGATGGGGACCCAAAAAGAAGAGGATGGGGTCAGCTCTGTGCAAACCATTACAGAGCAGGTAAGTATGACGTTTGTTATTTTGAAAAAAAAAATATAACCTTTAGAATCGCTTTACTATAATTGTTTGTATATCTGTATTGATTGTAGTGTAGATGTAGTGCTGGGCTAATGGAAGGAATGGCCGCCATCAGAGTGACTACGTTACAATACAAGGAGGTGTGCTGTAATTCATGGGGGGCAATATATTTACAGTCACATGACCTGGTATTACAGATGAAAGTCAACATCCCGGTCCCGAGGCTTTGTGAGCTGCAGGGAGTTCCGTGCGAAAGGTCCAAAAACAAATAAGAGGTTTCCTGTTTCCCTGTAAATTGTGACATTTTGCAGCTTTGGTCGGATATTCACTCATCTTCTCCGGTTTCATTTTAGGCTCCACATCTGAAAGATGCCCATGTAGTGGGACTTGCTGCTTTTTCAGTCCATTTACATGAGAGTCGGATGTTGCTGGCGCCCCCAGGTTCTGATGGCTCCTCATTGGACAAATTCTGGGAATCTCTGCTAAACCCGCAGTGTTCCGGATCTCTTCCTGTTGTCCTCAGGTAAGCAGTGGAAGTTCTGAATATCATTCACGTCGTGGAATCCATACAGTCCGGACCATTGTATTGTGTGTGCAAGTCCATTGTGTCGCAGCCCTTTACCTGCTGGGATATTTGCCACCAAATCTAATCATAGCAATCTGCTGATCAGATATCAGTGCCCACCAGTGCAGCCTCATCGGTGCCCACCAGTGCAGCCTCATCAGTGCCCACCAGTGCAGCCTCATCATGCCCACCAGTGCAGCCTCATCAGTCAGTGCAGCCTCATCAGTGCCCACCAGTACAGCCTCATCATGCCCACCAGTGCAGCCTCATCAGTGCCCACCAGTGCAGCCTCATCGTGCCCACCTCTCATCAGTGCCCACCAGTGCAGCCTCATCGGTGCCCACCAGTGCAGCCTCATCGGTGCCCACCAGTGCAGCCTCATCAGTGCCCACCAGTGCAGCCTCATCAGTGCCCACCAGTGCAGCCTCATCAGTGCCCACCAGTGCAGCCTCTCGATGCCCACCAGTGCAGCCTCATCAGTGCCCACCAGTGCAGCCTCATCAGTGCCCACCAGTGCAGCCTCCTCGATGCCCACCAGTGCAGCCTCATCAGTGCCCCCCAGTGCAGCCTCATCGGTGCCCCCCAGTGCAGCCTCATCGGTGCCCACCAGTGCAGCCTCATCAGTGCCCACCAGTGCAGCCTCATCATGCCCACCAGTGCAGCCTCATCGATGCCCACCAGTGCAGCCTCATCAGTGCCCCCAGTGCAGCCTCATCAGTGCCCCCAGTGCAGCCTCATCGGTGCCCACCAGTGCAGCCTCATCGGTGCCCACCAGTGCAGCCTCATCGGTGCCCACCAGTGCAGCCTCATCGGTGCCCACCAGTGCAGCCTCCTCATGTCCCCCCAGTGCAGCCTCATCAGTGCAGCCTCATCAGTGCCCACCAGTGCAGCCTCATCAGTGCAGCCTCCTCGGTGCCCACCAGTGCAGCCTCCTCGGTGCCCACCAGTGCAGCCTCCTCGGTGCCCTCCAGTGCAGCCCATCGGTGTCCCACCAGTGCAGCCTCATCAGTGCAGCCTCCTTGGTGCCCACCAGTGCAGCCTCCTGGTGCCCACCAGTGCAGCCTCCTTGGTGCCCACCAGTGCAGCCTCCTTGGTGCCCACCAGTGCAGCCTCCTTGGTGCCCACCAGTGCAGCCTCCTTGGTGCCCACCAGTGCAGCCTCCTTGGTGCCCACCAGTGCAGCCTCATCGGTGCCCACCAGTGCAGCCTCATCAGTGCAGCCTCATCAGTGCCACCAGTGAAGCCTCATCAGTGCCCACCAGTGCAGCCTCATCAGTGCAGCCTCATCAGTGCAGCCTCATCAGTGCCCACCAGTGCAGCCTCATCAGTGCCCATCAGTGCAGCCTCATCAGTGCAGCCCATCAGTGCCCACCAGTGCAGCCTCATCAGTGCCCACCAGTGCAGCCTTATCAGTGCCCATAAAATTGGTCAGGAAGGAGGTGAAAGTGTCGGGAATGGAAGGGTTTCAATGCTCCGGAGTTGTTAGACTTTAGTACAATAAGCTGTTAGAGGGCGGAGCTCTAAGTGGGAAGTTTCCAGCTTTATGACTGCATTACAAATGGGCAGAAATCCTGAATAATGTGCAGATTTTATATTATTATTCATACTAATGCTCTAAAAAATGAAGGCTGAAAAAAAAAAAAGTGATGCCCATGTGTCCCTCCCCCGACTCACATGTTCTTGCTGTGATTTTGTTCCAGGTTGTGTACGGCGGCCATTTCCTATGCCTGCTGCAGGCTGTCACTTCTTTCACTGGAGACATCCCCCGACGCCATCCCGCCGCTGTTCATGGGGAAGGTAATTGTGTACAATCCGGCCGGTCAGAGTTCTAGGACATCGATGATGTGTAAATGTGCTCTGCATTGTGCAGTATTGTGTTCATTCATTTCTGAAGGGGATGACGGGTGCCCAACGAAGTGCGTCCAGCAGAGATCGCCGCTAGTAAACGTCGGCCGTGCAGAGAGCTGTGAATAAGTGCGGCAGCCGGTGACCTGTCATAGCGATCTTCTGATTCCTGCCGCTACAATACGCCCCGGCCTAAATCGCAGTGTGAATGAAGCCTTCAGACCCCATTCACACCTGAGTGTAGCTTGTTTGTGCATTTTGTGGCATTTTGTGGTGTTTTTATGCGAGTTTGCAATTGTGTGCGATTCGTTCAGGCGTTTTCGCTGTGGCGTCAATTGTGGCCATGTTTTGCCATGTCATAAAAAACATTCGACAAAATGCACGATTTTTGCGTTTCCATGTGTTTGAATGGGAATGAAAACGCGCCAAAAATGCATCAATCTTCCCAAATAGAGCTACAAAACTTTTTTGCGCTTCAGGTGTTTTGCTTCAGGTGACTGGGATGTGAACCATCTCCATAGAGTAATATTGATTTCTTTTTTTCTGATAGAGAAGAGAGACGGCAGCGCCACTCTAAGTGTAGACGGGTAAAATCAGGCAGATTTAATGGTGAAGGAGTGAGCATGCTCCGAACGCACGCCATCTTGGAAACCCAGTCCATGCGGTGACATCATCCCTGCGCCCCTCTGCTACTCCCCGAGCCCTGGACACCATCGAAGCGGTGGGGAAAACACCCGGAGCACGGCCAAGGGACCTGATGCTCCCACTGGACCTCCATCACTTGACATGCCTACCTGTTACCTACCTATGTGAGTGCAATTTTACCATGAAATCTGCCGGATTCTAACCGTCTACACTTAGAGTGGCGCTGCCGTCTCTTCTCTGCCTGCATTAGGGGGATCTACGAGCTCTTACAGCCGGCTGCCTCCTCAGACAAGTCCATACTACTACCACCCCCCACTACAGATGGACTTGGACACCACCGCCACATGGGCCTTCTACTCACCCCCATTGCTGATGGTCCATCCCCAAACGCTTACAGGGTAGATGCGTCTCTGCGCTCCCTCCCTCCACTCACCTCTGAATCTCTGTTTTCTGTCTCGGCGTGTTGGAGCTTTCTGCTACAAAACACTCGGGTGTGATTGTGGCCTAAACTGTGTGCACCCCTCTGGGGGTTATTTACCAAATCCGCATGGCGCAAAACCTGGTATAGCTCTGCATAGGAACCAATCAGCTTCCAGGTTCTATTACCAAAGCTTCATTGAACAAGCAGAAGGTAGAAGCTGATTGGTTACTTTGCACAGCGTATCAGATTCTGTGTTCATCAGTTCTAATAAATCTCTCCTTTGTTGCATACAAATGCAGACGCTTCGCCCCCAATGCGCCTGTATGGGGTGAACAGGGAACATTTGTTTTCTCTGCATCCTAGCGTGGAGCCTGGATGGATAATTGCTGGTCGGCACGCCTGGTGTGAACAAACCGTCGCTGCTGATCCTCCATTACTGAGGGTCCAAGGAGGGAGCATGAAACCATCATAGCTGGGTATGACCGTAACATTAGGGCGGAGCTCCGCTGCTGATTCTGCAAACAAGCGTCCACCATGGAAGCACATTGTAATCAGAGAACTTTAATCAGAAGGCAATGTCTGTCCTCCGTGGGGAAGATGTGCGCATTAAAGAGCGAAACGGACCTCTGGGCACTAAATCCCATAAACAAACATTGGGTATACCGAGAAGAAAGGACTGAGACAAAGCACTGATTCATGTGAAACGCGTCGTCATAGGAACCAGGAATTGTTTGACTAGACCAGGGGTAGGCAACCTGCGGCTTTCCAGCTGTTGCAGGACTACAAGTGCCATCATGCCTCTGCAAGTCATAGCTGTAACTGTCAGTTTTGTAATGTTGCAATGCCTCATGGGAAATGTAGTTCCACAACAGCTAGAGAGCCGCAGGTTGCCTACCCCTGGACTAGACCATCTCTAGTTGTGGGTTCCATGGTGGCTGCTGCTAGCTTCCTTGTGCTTTACTGAGGTCACTTCCGGGGTGCCGTGAGGCCACTTCGGGGTGCCGTGATGTCACTTCCGGGGTGCCGTGATGTCACTTCCGGGGTGCCGTGATGAGGCCGTGATGTCACTTCTGGGGTGCCGTGATGTCACTTCTGGGGTGCCGTGAGGCCACTTCCAGTGTGCCGGGATGTCACTTCCGGTGTCCCGGGATGACGCGTTTGGTGTGCCGTGATGCCATGTCACGCCACTTTCTGTGTGCCATGTGCCACTTCCGGTGTGATGTGATGTCACTTTTGGTGTGCCGAGATGCCACGTCGGTCCTTTGGGAGATACTACATCGGGCTTTTTGTCTGTGGATTAACTCCTCACCATTCACTGCTCTTCTCCCATCTTTCCATCCATCAAGTTTACCATCTAGAGCTCAGGTGTCAAACTGGCGGCCCTCCAGCTGTTGTCAAACTACAAGTCCCATGAGGCATTGCAAAATTGACAGTTATAAGCACGACTCCCGAAGGTAGAGGCATGATGGGACTTGTATTTGTGCAACAGCTGGAGGGCCGCCAGTTGGACCCCCTGATCTAGACTCCACAGCCATGTCATGGTCTCAGTAAGCAGCTTCCATTACTCTACCAGTATGTGACTTGTGCCGTAGTACTACATTGGGTGTCCCGGAATGTGGATTCGGACTTTGTGATGGTTGGTTGTGTATGTCATCGTTTCGGCACCCTGGCTTTACCTCCAGCTCTCTGTTGTTTGATTTTCATTATGTGTATTTAACGTTCCTTGGTTCACAGATTCAGCACCTCCTGCCCAGACTGGTCCTGGATACAAGATGGGAAGGGATAGAGGAAGAGATGGACACCCCGATTGTGGTCAGCGCTCCGTCCCCTCCCTCTCCACGATGGAAAGAAGCAGCGCTCTCTCTCTGGCGCCAGACACGCCTCCGGGAACTGTTTAAGAAGGATTTATTCCAGGTACTGCTCCGTGTATTCGGTGATGGAATGTATCGAACGCCATGAGGTTGGTGCACAGAAGAGATCAACATTTATCTTCTATTACCATCAGATCACAATTAGAAATAAAAATAGACGAGTTGGGTTTGTTGTCCTGGATAACGGCTCATCATCATCATCATCATCATCATTATTATACAGGATTTATGGCGCCAACAGTGTGCTCAGCGCTGTACAATATAACGGGAGACAATACAGATCAATACAAGAGGGATAGGAGGGCCCTGATCCTGGGAGCTTACAATCTAAGAGGGAGGGGCTTGTGGGAAGCCAGTGGAGGGATTGGCAGAGAGGGGTGGAGGACACTGAATGGAGGCCAGTGGAGGGATTGGCAGAGAGGGGTGGAGGACACTGAGTGGAGGCCAGTGGAGGGATTGGCAGAGAGGGGTGGAGGACACTGAATGGAGGTCAGTGGAGGGATTGGCAGAGAGGGATGGAGGACACTGAGTGGAGGCCAGTGGAGGGATTGGCAGAGAGGGGTGGAGGACACTGATTGGAGGCCAGTGGAGGGATTAGCAGAGAGGGATGGAGGACACTGAATGGAGGCCAGTGGAGGGATTGGCAGAGTGGGGAGGAGGACACTGAATGGAGGCCAGTGTAGGGATTGGCAGAGAGGCACGCACTGAGTGGATCCAGTGGAGGGATTGCACAGATGGAGGACACATATATGGAGGTCAGTATGTGATTTTGCGCAGAGAGGTGCCCTTGGAGGACAGTATTACAGCCGTAGGAGGCCGGCAGGCGGGGGTTAAGAAAAGTGCGTCACTCCGTGTCCTCCAACCACACGAGATCTCTTCTGTATTCGTGCCCAGTGGAGGGATTCCTTCAGGGGTGGAGAACTCCCCAAATGGTGTCGATCACCTAGGGAGGGATTGTCGGCAACCCGCGGCTCCAGAGCACTGAATGCGGCTCTTTTTCATCTTTGCTGCGGGGGTGGAGCACACTGCCCAGGCCAGGTGACAGGCAATAGGGTTTCAGTGGTCGGCACACGGATCGCAAGCCACATGCGGCTCTTCTGTGTGCCAGTGTAGGCGCCCGCTCCCCTCCCTCCTCTCGGGCGGCACGCCTCAAAAGTCAGGACTCTTTTAATCGCGGCCCGCGGAGCGTGGAACATTAGCTGTCAGGATGTAGGACGGGGCAGCCGGTTATGTAGGCGGGGCACTCCGTGACGAACTCCTCTCACAGTCCTCCCTGAATTCGGAACACTTCCAAGAGGAACGCGCGGAGCAAAGGTAAGTGAATTAAGACAATATGGGGAATTAATTACTATGCTGCGGGGGGATGAATTGCCCATATGGGGGTGAATTACTATGGGGGATGAATTCGGCAATATGGGGGATGAATTACTATGAGGATGAATTCTGTATGGGGGATGAATTACTATCGGGGGGATGAATTTTATCCGGGGGATGAAATTACTATAGGGGGGCAGCCAGGATGTAGGCGGGGCAGCATGACGAATTCTATCCGCCCTGAAGATGAATTACTAGGGAGGAATAATTACTATATGGGGGATGAATTACAATATGGGGGGATGAATTACTATATGGGGGGATGAATTACTATATGGGGGATGAATTACTATGGGGGATGAATTACTATATGGGGGATGAATTACTATGGAGGATGAATTACTATATGGGGGATTAATTACTATGGAGGATGAATTACTATATGGGGGATGAATTACTATATGGGGGATGAATTACTATATGGGGGATGAATTACTATATGGGGGATGAATTACTATGGGGGATGAATTACTATATGGGGGATGAATTACTATGGGGGATGAATTACTATATGGGGGATGAATTACTATGGAGGATGAATTACTATATGGGGGATGAATTACTATATGGGATGAATTACTATGGGGGATTATTACTATGGGGGATGAATTACTATGGGGGATGAATTATTATATGGGGGATTAATTACTATGGAGGATGAATTACTATATGGGGATGAATTACTATATGGGGGATGAATTACTATGGGGGATGAATTACTATAGGGGGGATGAATTACTATGGGGGATGAATTACTATATGGGGGATGAATTACTATGGAGGATGAATTACTATATGGGGGGATGAATTACTATGGAGGATGAATTACTATGGGGGATGAATTACTATATGGGGGATGAAGCTAACTGCACGATCCTGTATATAGCATTAAGGTAAGAAACAATATATGCAGTGTCGGATTTGTTTTAAATGTTGCAATGGTTTTGCGGCTCCCAGTCTTTTTTTTTCCCTTCGGAAACGGGTCCAAGTGGCTCTTTATGTCTTAAAAGTTGCAGACCCCTGATCTAGGTGTATACAGAGGTCGGTCAGAAGCGTTGTGTCAGGGTGAAGAGGTCGTCGTGTGGTGGGAGGACACGGAGAGACGCACTTTTCTGAACACTCCCAGCACATATTATTGTGCATTTGTACTTTTTTGGCATATTTAGCCCCTTCAGTTACAATGTAGGATTTATGGATTGGATAAGCGCGGCTCCTACTTAGTCTTTGGTTAGATTTGGTTTCACGCTCTGAGCAGCAGCTATTGGGGTCGGTGCTCACAGTACTGTTGTGTAGGAAAACACTTAATATATTTTTATTATTCTGTTTTAGCTTTCATTCAGGGATTGGTTGCTGTGGGAGATGTCTATGAATCCCGATGTAGATCCTCTGTCTGACATGGAGAGGTGAGCCTGTCTTCATCAACAAAAACGTTCGAAAGTCGTTCATTATACTGAGACTACACAATCTCTCTACAGACAGGACTACCAGCGATGGGCGGTGAACCAGTATTTTCTCCCAGAAGCCTCTGCGATTGGTGGATGTGGGAACAATTTGGAAAAGGCCTGTTCAGCAATGGTTGGTGCCATATTGGATTTTAGTACTAGGTGAGTTCATTCTTCAGATACTTAACCCCTCGCCTACCGGGCACTGTCCCCCCCCTTCCTGCCTACCGGGCACTTCTCCCCCCCTTCCTGCCTACCGGGCACTTCTACCCCCTTCCTGCCTACCGGGCACTTCTACCCCCTTCCTGCCTACCGGGCACTGTCCCCCCCCTTCCTGCCTACCGGGCACTGTCCCCCCCTTCCTACCTACCGGGCACTGTCACCCCCTTTCTGCCTACCGGGCACTGTCCCCCCCTTCCTGCCTACCGGGCACTGTCCCCCCCCTTCCTGGCACTGGCACTGTCCCCCCCCTTCCTGCCTACCGGGCACTGTCTACCCCCTTCCTGCCTACCGGGCACTGTCCACCCCCTTCCTGCCTACCGGGCACTGTCCCCCCCTTCCTGCCTACGGGGCTTGTCCCCCCCTTCCTGCCTACCGGGACTGTCCCCCCCTTCCTGCCTACCGGGACTGTCCCCCCCTTCCTGCCTACTGGGCACTGTCCCCCCCCTTCCTGCCTACAGGGGCACTTCACCCCCCTTCCTGCCTACTGGGCACTGACACCCCCTTCCTGCCTACAGGACACTTCTACCCCCTTCCTGCCACCGGGCACTTCTACCCCCTTCCCTGCCTACACCGGACACTTCTACCCCCTTCCTGCCTACAGGGCACTTCTACCCCCTTCCTGCCTACAGGGCACTTCTACCCCCTTCCTGCCTACAGGGCACTTCTACTCCCTTCCTGCCTACAGGGCACTTCTACCCCTTCCTGCCTATTGGGCACTTCTACCCCCTTCCTGCCTACAGGGCACTTCTACCCCCTTCCTGCCTACTGGGCACTTCTACCCCCTTCCTGCCTACAGGGCACTGTCACCCCCTTCCTGCCTACCCTACTTCTACCCCCTTCCTGCCTGGCACTGTCACCCCCTTCCTGCCCACCTGGCACTGTCACCCCCTTCCTGCCCACCGGGCGCTTCTACCCCCCTTCCTGCCTCAGCCAATTTTCAGCTTTCTGTGTTGTCGCACTTTGACAATTGCACGGTCATGCAACACTACCTATATGAAATTTGTATAAAAAATTTTTTTTTTTCACACAAATAGAGCTTTCTTTTGGTGGTATGTACTCCCCGCTGGGGGTTTTATTTTTGGTGCTATAAACAAAAAAAGAGCGAAAAATTTGAAGGAAAAAAAAGTTTTTCTTTGTTTCTATTATAAAATTTTGTTAACAGGTAATTTTTCTCCTTCACTGATCTGCATTGATGAGGCGGCACTGATAGGCGGCACTGATGATGCTGCACTGATAGGTGGCACTGATGATGCTGCACTGATAGGTGGCACTGATGATGCTGCACTGATAGGTGGCACTGCTGGGCTCAAGTGGGCAGCACTGATAGGCAGCACTGATGATGCTGCACTGATAGGTGGCACTGCTGGGCTCAGGCAGGTGGCACTGATGATGCTGCACTGATAGGCGGCACTGATGATGCTTCACTGATAGGTGGCACTGCTGGGCTCAGGCAGGTGGCACTGATGATGCTGCACTGATAGGCGGCACTGATAGGCAGCACTGATGATGCTTCACTGATAGGTGGCACTGCTGGGCACTGATTAGTGCCCTGATGATCAGTGCCAATCACTTCTTTGACAATTGCTGGTTATTGGCAGTAGTTTCCTCATGCTGTCACAGTGCGAGGAAAGTGCAGCTGATAATCAGCAACTGTATTTATCCCGTGATCTGTGTCATTGGACATAGCTGATCACGTGCTAAAAGGCTGCCGTGATTGGCCGTTTACTATATCACGTGATCAGCTCTGTCCGTAGGACACAATGATCACCGCTGGCGCTGGGTGCGCTCCGCAGGGGGCATGTTCTGGAATGACATCCATGGACCAGAACCGGACAACCGCACTGTAGCCGCCCTTCAGCTATGGCGCGGTAGGGAACTGGTTAAAGTAAACCTGGGCCTATGCAGGTCAAGGCAACAGCTTCACGTCACAGTCCGCTCCCCCTGGAGCTTGTACTTGTCTTCCTTTTGCTCTCCTGCAGTAACAAGGAACGGGACACCCTGTGTAAGCTTTATATACTAGTCGGGGCTGAAGACTGTCCCCTCCCCCGACATGTCTCTGGTAACTGTGTTCCAATTGTCAGAGGACAACGTTTAAGTGAAGCTGTTGCTTTGACCGGAGCTCAGGTTCACTTTATTGGTCGGCCCGTCACTAGATAATCACGCAGCTGATCATACTCAGCACTGCTATACATAGATTGTTAGATTCATTCTGATATCCTTGTGACCCGACCACCTCCGCTGTGCTGTTACTGCAAACTATACGGAGGGTGACTACACGTGTTCACACTTGTTATTTCTGCAGACTTCATCTGCTATTACACTGCCTCCTGCCTGTTTTATGGACCTATAATGAACGTTAAAGTGTTACTAAACCCACAACAGTACAATCAGTCTGTAGATGCCGGAAAGCATGCTGGTTATACTCACTGTGGGACCTAAGGGGTTAATTCTGAATGCGGGGTCCGGGGAGAGCGGATACAGTGAACGCGGGGTTCGGGGAGAACGGATGTAGTGAATGCGGGGTCCGGGGAGAGCGGATATAGTGAATGCGGGGTCCGGGAGAGCGGATACAGTGAATGCGGGGTCCGGGGAGAGCGGATACAGTGAATGCGGGGTCCGGGGAGAGCGGATATAGTGAATGCCGGGTTCGGGGAGAGCGGATATAGGGAATGCGGGGTCCGGGGAAAGCGGATATAGTGAATGCGGGGTCCGGGGAGAGCGGATATAGTGAATGCGGGGTCCGGGAAAAGCGGATATAGTGAATGCGGGGTCCGGGGAGAGCGGATACAGTGATACAGTAAATGCGGGGTCCGGGGAGAGCGGATGTAGTGAATGTGGGGTCCGGGGAGAGCGGATATAGTGAATGTGGGGTCCGGGGAGAGCGGATATAGTGTATGCGGGGTCCGGGGAGGGCGGATATAGTGAATGTGGGGTCCGGGGGGAGCGGATATAGTGAATGCGAGGTCCGGGGGGAGCGGATATAGTGAATGCGGGGTCCGGGGGGAGCGGATATAGTGAATGCGGGGTCCGGGGAGAGGGGATATAGTGAATGCGGGGTCCGGGGAGAGCGGATATAGTGAATGCGGGGTCCGGGGAGAGCGGATGTAGTGAATGCGGGGTCCGGGGAGAGCGGATATACTGAATGCGGGGTCCGGGGAGAGCGGATATAGTGAATGCGGGGTCCGGGGAGAGCGGATATACTGAATGCGGGGTCCGGGGAGAGCGGATACAGGGAATGCGGGGGGTCATGTAAACAGTCTGGGCTCACATGAAATGAGGTGAATTACATCGTGTCCTGTTCTGCTCTGAGGAGGACCTCTGGCTCTGGACCAAGGAGGAGGAGGTCAGTGAACGTGCCGGAGTGTAAATTGTTTTATATATTTGCCTGGAGCCATGTGGACCACGTTGTGTGTAGATCTCTCCACTCATTTGGCCAATTCTATATTTCACTTTTTATTGCAGTTCTGAGCTTGGCCCTGGAAGTCATCCATCTCGGGGCCACACAGGTCTCAATGGCATCCTCAGTCGTTTACAGGTAAGTCTACAAACCAGCCAGAGCTTGTCAACGGTAATTGCTGAGAATTCTGGGACAGAGCTGGATGTCCATTTAACCTCCATCTAAACTACAATATGTTTTTTGTATAAATGTTCCCAAGTTACACTCCCTGTGCCTACAATTTGTAAAGTGCAATTGAAAATGAAAGGAAGAATTTGATTGGCTACTTTGTGTAGGTACACTATATTGCCCCAAGTATTGTCCTCGCCCTCCTGTATATAGACTATATTCCCCCAAGTTTTGGGTCGCCGGCCTTTCCACACACATGACCTGTAATGGCCCCCCCCCCCCCCCCCAGTCTTAGTCTGTAGGATTCAATATTGAGTTGGCCCCGCCCTTTCCACACACATGACCTTTAATGGCCCCCCAGTCTTGGTCCGTAGGGTTCAATATTGAGTTGGCCCCGCCCTTTCCACGCACATGACCTTTAATGGCCCCAGTCTTAGTCCGTAGGGTCCAATATTAAGTTGGCCCCGCCCTTTCCACACACATGACCTTTAATGGCCACCCAGTCTTAGTCCGTAGGGTTCAATATTGAGTTGGCCCCGCCCTTTCCACGCACATGACCTTTAATGGCCCCCCAGTCTTAGTCCGTAGGGTTCAATATTGAGTTGGCCCCGCCCTTCCCACACACATGACATTTAATGGCCCCCCAGTCTTAGTCCGTAGGGTTCAATATTGAGTTGGTCCCGCCCTTTGCAGCTATAACAGCTTCAACTCTTCTGGGAAGGCCGTCCACAAGGTTTAGGAGGGTGTCTATGGGAAGGTTGGACCATTCTTCCAGAAGCACATTTGTCAGGTCAGGCACTGATGTCGGGGGAGGAGGCCTGGCTCGCAGTCTCTGCTCTGATTCATCCCAAAGGGGTTCTATGGGGTTGAGGTCAGGACTCTGTGAAGGACAGTCAAGTTCCTCCACCCCAAACTGGCTCCTCCATGTCTTTATGGACCTTGCTTTGTGCACTGGTGTGCAGTCATGTTGGAACAGGAAGGGGCCATCCCCAAACTCCTCCCACAAAGTTGGGAGCATGAAATTGGCCAAAATGTCGCCTTAAGAGTTCCCTTCATTGGAACTAGGGGACCAAGCCCACCCCTGAAAAACACCCCCCACCATAATCCCCCCTCCACCAAACTTTACACTTGGCACAATGCAGTCAGGCAAGTACCGTTCTCCTGGCTACTGCCAAACCCAGACATTGGGTTGCCAGACAGAGAAGCGTGATTGGTCACTCCAGAGAACACGTCTTCACGGCTCTAGAGTCCAGTGGCGGCTTGCTTTACACCACAGCATCCAACGCTTTGCATTGCACTTGGTGATGGAAGGCTTGGATGCAGCTGCTCGGCCATGGAAACCCATTCCATGAAGCTCTCTACGCACTGTTGTTGGGCTCATCTGAAGGCCACACCAAGTTTGGAGGTCTTTAGCTATTGACCCCACTCTGTCATGTGATGTGGCCTACCACTTGGTGGCTGAGTGGCTGTTGTTCCCAGTTGCTTCCACTTTGTTAAAAACCCACTAACAGCTGAGCGTGGAATATTTAGTAGCCAGGAAATGTCACGGATGGACTTATTGCACAGGTGGCCACCTATCACGGGACCACGCTTGGAGTCACTGAGCTCCTGAGAGCGACCCATTCTTTCACCAATGTTTGTAGAAGCCGTCTGCATGCCTAGGGGCTTGATTGTATACATCTGTGTCCATGGAGGGGATTGGAAACACCCGAATCACATGATATGGAGGGGAATGGAGCACCTGAATCACATGATATGGAGGGGGTTGGAACACCTGAATCACATGATATGGAGGGGATTGGAACACCTGAATCACATGATATGGAGGGGATTGGAACACCTGAATCACATGATATGGAGGGGATTGGAACACCTGAATCACCTGATATGGAGGGGATTGGAACACCTGAATCACCTGATATGGAGGGGATTGGAACACCTGAATCACATGATATGGAGGGGATTGGAACACCTGAATCACATGATATGGAGGGGATTGGAACACCTGAATCACATGATATGGAGGGGATTGGAACACCTGAATCACATGATATGGAGGGGATTGGAACACCTGAATCACATGATATGGAGGGGATTGGAACACCTGAATCACATGATATGGAGGGGATTGGAACACCTGAATCACATGATTGGGAGGGCGGGGACAATACTTGTGGCAATATAATGTACTTCAGATGCTTTGTAATGAGACCCTGTTTGTTTTCTTCCCTAGGAGTTGGTGTGTGATTGGTTACTGAGTCACTCAGGCAAGAACATCCAAGTTCATTTCCTCCTTGATGTGTTCCTCCGGAGGTTAGCGGAGATACCAGACAGCATGGAGACGGGCGCCCAGCTCAGAAGACAATGCGAAGTCGCCATGTGCTGCAGGTATTGCTTCTTCATTTTACTCTGCAATGCACTTTGGTCAGATGGGAAATGTCGCCATTTAACTCCACTTTGCATTCATTTTATTGGCTGGGCTAGTATTTGGAGCCAATAATATTCATTGACTGTATCTATAAGTTCTGCTCATACAAGGTTTGGAATGTCTACCCTGTCCGGGTGAAAATGGTCACATTTTGCACCTTCAAATTTTTTGAGAGAGAGAGTTTTTCCTCTTGGTTCACGGTCCGTTTTCATCCCCACTTTATTGATCATTATAAATATTTGCTTCTCGGGGGGACTGGTGGATTTTTTGCGGGCCAAGAAGTTGCAGATTTTCCTAGAGGCCCTGTGAACACTCTGCTCTATCTAACCATAAGAGAGCATGAAAAACATATATATAAAACGACTCAGATTTAGGTAAATGATGCGGTTTCAGTGTTTCCAGAATAATTTATTGAATGGTTTTAAAGCCCGTCTGACGTTCAGTGTGAGTCTGCTGCATGCATTCCAAATGCATTATTTTTGGAAGCAGTGGTCTCCCTGCAGAGGTCCAGCATGCTCCCTGCTGGGTCAGAGCTCAGCAATCACAGTGCAGATGGACAATGACCCAAAGCAGACTGCAAAAGCCACCAAAGAAGTGGAATGTTCTGCAATGGCCAATCACCTGACCTGAATCCGATGGAGCATTTCACTTGCTGAAGACAAAACTGAAGGGAAAATGCCCCAAGAACAAGCAGGAACTGAAGACAGTTGCAGTAAAGGCCTGGCAGAGCATCACCAGGGATGACACCCAGCGTCTGGGGATGTCTATGCGTTCCACACTTCAGGCTGTCATTGACTGCAAAGGATTTGTAACCAAGTATTAAAAAGTGAAAGTTTGATTTATGATTATTATTCTGTCCCATTACTTTTGGTCCCTTAACAAGTGGGAGGCACATATGCAAACTGTTGTAATTCCTACACCGTTCACCTGATTTGGATGTAAATACCCTCAAATTAAAGCTGACAGTCTGCAGTTAAAGCACATCTTGTTCCTTTCATTTCACATCCATTGTGGTGTATAGAGCCAAAAATGGTAGAATTGTGTCCATGTCCCAATATTTATGGACCTGTGTGTGTGTGTGTGTATATATATATATATATATATATATATATATATCTATCTCGCCAGCTTTGTATAAAATATATATATATATCGCCAGCTTTGTGTATATATATCGCCAGCTTTGTATATTTATATCGCCAGCTTTGTATATTTATATCGCCAGCTTTGTGTATATATATATCGCCAGCTTTGTGTATATATATCGCCAGCTTTGTATATATATCGCCAGCTTTGTATATATATCGCCAGCTTTGTATATATATATCGCCAGCTTTGTATATTTATATCGCCAGCTTTGTATATTTATATCGCCAGCTTTGTATATAATATCGCCAGCTTTTGTATATATATATCGCCAGCTTTGTATATATATATCGCCAGCTTTGTATATATATATCGCCAGCTTTGTGTATATATATCGCCAGCTTTGTATATTTATATCGCCAGCTTTGTATATATATCGCCAGCTTTGTATATATATCGCCAGCTTTGTATATATATCGCCAGCTTTTGTATATATATATCGCCAGCTTTTGTGTATATATATCGCCAGCTTTGTATATATATCGCCAGCTTTGTATATATATATCGCCAGCTTTTGTATATATATGTATCGCCAGCTTTGTATATTTATATCGCCAGCTTTGTATATATATATCGCCAGCTTTGTATATATATATCGCCAGCTTTGTATATTTATCGCCAGCTTTGTATATATATATCGCCAGCTTTGTGTATATATATCGCCAGCTTTGTGTATATATATCGCCAGCTTGTGTATATATATCGCCAGCTTTGTATATATATCGCCAGCTTTGTATATATATATCGCCAGCTTTGTATATATATATCGCCAGCTTTGTATATATATCGCCAGCTTTGTATTATATATATCGCCAGCTTTGTATATATATATATCGCCAGCTTTGTATATATATATCGCCAGCTTTTGTATTTATATATCGCCAGCTTTGTATATATATATCGCCAGCTTTGTATATATATATCGCCAGCTTTGTATATATATATCGCCAGCTTTGTATATATATATCGCCAGCTTTTGTGTATATATATCGCCAGCTTTGTATATATATTCGCCAGCTTTGTGTATATATATCGCCAGCTTTGTATATATATATAGTATATCGCCAGCTTTGTATATCACACATACAATATAGCCAGCCCCTAAAGGGGACTCACAGATGTTGGTGACTTTGTACAGGATCATCCTGGGACTTCCCTCTTCCCTCCTCATCAGGCCGTACACCGACAGAGGCCGCACTACGCTGAAGCCTGATGACTTCTTTCAGTTTGTCAGCCAGCATCTGGTGAGCTTTTTCTTATGTACTTATTTAGTAAATTGTCAGCTCTGGGTCAGCCTTGGATTGAAGTCTGCTTTGGTTTTCCTTTCATCTTGCAGAAAAACATCAGCCAGCGAGGATGTGCTCTGCCTTATGACCTCACCGCCCACTTCTTCAGGGTAAAATCATTTTTTATTGACATATAAATGACACTTTATATTTTAAAAGTAAATGTTAGTGAACATATCCCCCCCCCCCCCCCCCATACCATCTACCTCCCATTGTTTTTCAGATAAGCCTGCTTTATATTTCACACGTGTGAGCGTTCCTTTTTGGGTGTTTTGGGTTTTATTAACATTGCTTGATCCTTCTACACTTAGAGGCGCTTCTGGTTTTTTGTGCTTTAGAGCCTGCTGCTGCTCCTGGGTGAGCTTGCCCTTAGTGGATGGACTTTTATTAGACATTTTATATATTGAATTGTGAGGTGTACACTCCTGTATGTGCCTGCTGTCCCTCAACCTTTTTTTTTATCTGTTGGAATTTGTGCCTATTCAGCCAAACGAATATTTGGTGAGGTCAGGTACTGATGTTGGATGAGAAGACGTGGCTCACCATCGGGGTTCCATTACATACCAAGGCTGTTCAGTAGAGTTGAGGTCAGGGCTCTGGGCAAGATATTCAAGTTCCTCCACACCAAACTGGTCATCCTTGTCTTCACGGAGCTGGCTTTACTCTTCTGGAAAGGCCTTCCTCATAATTTTGGAGTGTGTCTGTGGGAAGTTGTGTCCAGTCAGCCAAAAGAACATTGGTGAGGTCAGGTACTGATGTTAGATGAGAAGACCTGGCTCACCATCGGGGTTCCATTACATACCAAGACTGTTCAGTAGACTTGAGGTCAGGGCTCTGGGCAAGATATTCAAGTTCCTTCACACCAAACTGGTCATCCTTGTCTTCACGGAGCTGGCTTTACTGTTCTGGAAAGGCCTTCCTCATAATTTTGGAGTGTGTCTGTGGGAAGTTGTGTCCAGTCAGCCAAAAGAACATTGGAGAGGTCAGGTACTGATGTTGGATGAGAAGACCTGGCTCACCATCGGGGTTCCATTACATACCAAGGCTGTTCAGTAAAGTTGAGGTCAGGGCTCTGGGCGAGATATTCAAGTTCCTCCACACTAAACTGGTCATCCATGTCTCTATGAAGCTGGCTTTGTACACAAGAGACCCTCATGGGGGGACAGAAAAGGGTCTTCACCAAACTGTGACCACAAGGTGGCACACAGGTGTCTTTGTATTCTGTAGCATTAGTTGTACCCTTCACTATATCCACATACTTGGGGCCATATGGTGTAAATATGGTCATCCTTTCCGGGGCTTCTATTTTCTCACAGATGTTACTGTAGTGGCCATCCCTCTGCTTTCATATCCTCATTGTTGGTGTTTCTGATTTTCCGCAGGGATTGTTGAGCTCCAGCGCTCAGTGTGAGGATCCAGAAGAAGCTGTGAATTCTGTTCTCACCGCCGCCTATACACACTGCCCCATTGTGATGACCTCTGCTGCGGTACGTCCCTTCCACCCTCGTCACAGTCCATAGAAGTAGTAGGTCCAGTAAATTCATTCCGTCACCAAATCCCCAAAATCATATACACGCAAAAGAAAACTGACATCTCATGTCTGGCGGTTAGAATGGCGTTTCCTGGCTGGCCGGGACGTTTTCTGACCTAGAATTGTGAGCTGTCGGTATTTATACCGACTTTGTATGGCCTTTATGTTCAACATTGGGGGAGCCCCATCACCTCCTCTGTGCAGTGCTCCTGGTATCTCTGGACCAGTTTATTGGATGCCATTCCTTAACCCCGTCATGCCTGAGGGTAAAACAAATATTAATGCCTAAGCACAATTCTGCAACGTTGACGTGTTAGTAAAACCGTCCGTATTACCACAACTACTTCATACATCCAGGTGGATTATACCGCTTTTTTTTTTTTTTTTAAATTGGGCTTCATTTGGTGGTAAATGGTAATGGATTTTCCTTTTTTTTTTTTATTTATTTATTATTATTTTTATCAAAGGAAAACTGGCCCAAAATAGTAAAAAAAAACAAAACTTTTTTTTATTATTTTGCTTTGTGTTTCTTGTTACTACCATTACCTACCACCAAAGAACAACCCAAAATACATTTTCCAGATCCTGACGATCGCATCGATACCCTATATATGTATGTAATTTGTTGTTTGTACCCGGAGTACGGCCCAGAAACAATAGTGCGCATTTTGTGGTTTTTTTTTTTTTTCTTTTCTTTTACATAAAACAAACTGACATTAACACTGACACCCAATTTTTTTTTTTTTTTTTTTGTAAATCCTAACCTTTGACCCTGACCTTGACTCAACCACTAACCCTGGCATTGAACTAGATCAAAACTTGATCTAGGTATTTTTTTTTTTATATCTTTTTAATATTTATCTTTTTTTTTTTTTTTTTTTTTTTTTAACAAACATTTTTTTTTCTCTATGCCAGGAGTTATGTAGATACAATGTATAACAGAATGTATATAATGATACAATGTATAACAGAATGTATATAATGATACAATGTATAATAGAATGTATATAGTGATACAAGGTATAACAGAATGTATATAATGATACAATGTATAACATAATGTATATAATGATACAATGTATAATAGAATGTATATAATGATACAATGTATAACAGAATGTATATACTGATACAATGTATAACATAATGTATATAATGATACAATGTATAATAGAATGTATATAATGATACAATGTATAACAGAATGTATATAATGATACAATGTATAATAGAATGTATATAATGATACAATGTATAACAGAATGTATATAATGATACAATGTATAACATAATGTATATAATGATACAATGTATAATAGAATGTATATAATGATACAATGTATAACAGAATGTATATACTGATACAATGTATAACATAATGTATATAATGATACAATGTATAATAGAATGTATATAATGATACAATGTATAACAGAATGTATATAATGATACAATGTATAATAGAATGTATATAATGATACAATGTATAACAGAATGTATATACTGATACAATGTTTCTCCTCCATTCATAGAGAGAGAAAAAAACTCAAGGGGGCCAGGCTGTACAGTGACAATCTGTACAATCTGGAGTCCCGGGTCCTGATCGTTAGACCGGGACTCTGGGCTCTCAGTGACACTGCGGTCTTTGTGCTGGGAGCGAACCGTGCGGCGTGCACTGTACTACTTGTGGGGGTTCATGAAGATTTTTTTTTTTTTTTTTACACTGATTGCTTTTACACCCATAAAGGCTGTACAATCATTTTCTCCCTCTCTCTGTCTGCATTCTTGCAGCCATTGAGAAATACTGTGAGAGCTGTGATTGGTCACAGCTTGTCACATGGTACAAGGCTGTTGTGAATGGCCCTGTACCATGTGACCTTCTGTGATCATTCACAGATTTCACACATAGTAAGCAGTGATGTCAGGAAGTGACAGTTTACTAATGTTCATGTGATCACTGATTGGCCAATCCAGGGATCACATGATCGGGACCTCACACAGAGGTCGCATACAGCGATTGGTGTTCTGATGTGTCTGGAGGACGCAGAGGGGAACGGATGGCAGGGAGCGTGCACAGGCAGGTAAGCAGGGAGGACATTTATAGACGGCAACCCACCCCTGCACTGCCCCCGTCCAGCCGTTTATGTACATGGGCCGGACGGGAAGTGGTTAATACTATCTTCTTTATTTTTTTTTTTCTGTAGCTTTTGATTGTAAATCTGTTTTTTTTCAAAAAAGGAAAGCCTTCTGACCATCATCTGATGGCGATTACCCAGAACTCCCTCCTCCTGTTTGTGGGGCTCAGTTCTTGTATTCATTATTGGGCATTGAGGTCTCCTTGTCCTCCCTCCAGTGACGTCATAAATTGTGATTGCAGAGGTTCTAACACTTTGTGTTTTCTGCTATGAAGCTTTGGTGGCCTCAGCTGGACGCAGCCGTCAGGTGTCAGTGGAACGGCCTGTATGGAGCTGACTTGCCGAAGGAAATTGAAACGCTGCGGGAAGTGCAAGCAGATGTGGACAGGTGAGAGAGTCCAGGTTACATCCTTTCATCTATTGCAGGGGTCTCCAAACTGTGGCCCTGGGGCCGGATGCGGCCATTTGCTTGCCTTTATCCGGCCCTTGGAGCAATATCCCTCCCACTGACACAAACAATGGGGCACTATCCCTCCCACTGACACCAACGATGGGGCACTATCCCTCCCACTGACACCAACGATGGGGCACTATCCCTCCCACTGACACCAACGATGGGGCACTATCCCTCCCACTGACACCAACGATGGGGCACTATTCCTCCCACTGACACCAACGATGGGGCACTATTCCTCCCACTGACACCAATGATGGGGCACTATTCCTCCCACTGACGCCAACGATGGGGCACTATCCCTCCCACTGACTCCAATGGGGCACTATTGACACTGACTGACCAATGATGGGGCACTATTCCTCCCACTGACGCCAACAATGGGGCACTATCCCTCCCACTGACACCAACGATGGGGCACTATCCCTCCCACTGACGCCAATGATGGGGCACTATCCCTCCCACTGACGCCAACAATGGGGCACTATTCCTCCCACTGACACCAACGATGGGGCACTATCCCTCCCACTGACGCCAACGATGGGGCACTATCCCTCCCACCGGCGCCAACGATGGGGCACTATCCCTCCCACAATGGGGACGCCAACCATGGGCGCCAACGATGGGGCACTATCCCTCCCACTGACGCCAACGATGGGGCACTATCCCTCCCACTGACGCCAACGATGGGGCACTATTCCTCCCACTGACACCAATGATGGGGCACTATTCCTCCCACTGACACCAACGATGGGGCACTATCCCTCCCACTGACACTAAATACTCCTCGGCCTGTTACTGAAGATGGTTCATTGTTTGCTCTCACTGATGGCAGGATATTTTCTACTCCAAGTGACCAGGATCTGGCCCCCCAAAAGCCTGAAGGATCGTAAACCGGCCTTTTGTTTGAAGTGTTTGGAGACCCCCGATCTATTGTAATGTACAGAAACGTTCCTGTGATGGAGAGCGGCACATCCTGATCCCACCATTCAGTCCGCTGATTATTTGTTCTCTAGGTTCCTCTCTCAGGGATCGGCTCTGCCCCTCACTGACACCGTCTGGCTCTCTGCCGCCTTCCTGCATTTCACCGTCCGAAGGAACAAAGTGCAACAGAAGAGACTTCCCGGCTTACTTGGCAGTTTGAGCGCAAAGTCTTTGCAGGTGAGAATTCTGTCTGAAGAGGCTGAAATGGGGAACTCACTCTTCCAATACGATTGCCCTCCTCCATGACGTCACTCAGCCGGTCCAGACTCAGAAAAAATCCCAACTTTACAGTCAGGATCCACCAGATGGCTGGAACGGCACCTTGCTCTGCCGATTGACACAGCCACCCCCTCCCCCTCCACAGCCCAGAGCTGCAGTGAGCACTGGAGGAGCAGAGAGTAGTGACTGACAGTCATTGGCTGTCTGCTTAATGAAGACGGAGAGCTGAGCGATCAGCGGCTTTTGTCACTCAGGTCTCAGTCTTAGAAGTGTCGGGGGATAGATGCTGCATCCATCTAGCTGAGTATAAATGATAATAATAATAAAAAAACTATATTTCTCTTTTAGCCACTTGCCGTTTTTGGGCCATTTAATAACACCCTGGACTTCACGCGGTCAAAGCTGCAGCCATGAACTTGGTATCAGTTTTTTTCAGCTGGTGACTGTTCAGTAAACGTGATCCAAGCGGTTCTACAGTCACCTGATCACTTTCATAGTAGTGAGAAACGATAGTGTATTCCAGCCTGTATGGACGGGGCTAGGGCCACATTCCTGATCAGGTGGGGAAGACAGAGGACCAGTGTGACAGATACAAATATGAGAATGTAACATTGCCGTGGGGGGGCGGGGGGGGGGGGGGGGTCACTGGGAAGGACGGCACAGAGAGAAGGTGGTACATGAACCTGGGTGCAAGCCGGAGGGGGGGGTGCTGGGGGAGGGGATGAGGAGGAGATGGGGGGGGGGGGGGGGGGGGATGAGGAGGGGGGTGGGGGGGGGATTAGGAGGAGATCCGGGTCTTTGGGGGGGGGGGGGATGAGGAGTATTCTCATTGAGGGTGTAATGCAAGACGTCTCCAACGGTTGACAGAAAACAGGGGGAGCTGTACTTTTTTTTTTTTTTTTTTCTTTTGTTTTTTTCTTGTTCTACAGAAGTGATTCCAAGTCTCCCGTTTGTATTGCAGATGTTGGATTGCTTTCTGCTTTTCTCCATCATGGATCTGATCCCGCTGACGCTGAAGGTGAATACTTGACTCCAGAATCACTGAAGTCAATATTCCAGAGACGGTTTATATTCAGAGTTACATTGTTCCAACTTGGACCAACCTAACAATGTGCGTAATAACACACAAAGCGGAATATTGCGCTACTCCTCGGTGTCTTTATTGAAGCGTTAAAATGACATCACGGGTATGACGGGAGCATTAAAATGACATCACGGGTA